TAAACTTTTCCATATTTTTCTTTTATAATTATTATTAATTATTCATTAGTGGTGTGCTAATTAATGCCACTTAAATAGAGCAAGTCTCAAGTGAGACTTTTTAAAACCTAGTTATTGATTTATGGTCTCAAGATAATTTAAGAAGCTTTCCTTTCCATTTTGGCAATCTATTCTTGACACAAGAATCTAGGCCAAATCAAAGTTTCTTAAATAATTTCTGGAATAAAAACTGTTGAAAATTTGCTATAAATATACTCTGAGTTTATGGGATTAAAATTATATTTAAAACCCAGTCTATAATACAAAGTATGTCATTACATGCTCCAGTAGAATATATGTCTTTAAGGCAAATTTATAGGTCTCCAGCCTCCATTCTTCAGTATAGGAAAAATTATATTCCATCTGAAGTATGAAATTTGGTGAGTAACAAACTAATCTAGCAGTGTTCTTAATAAATATACTCCTTTGTCTATCAGTCATCACTAAAAAGCATTTATTAATTACTCACAAAATATAGACTTTTCCCTAAAGAAATTTAAAGTACAGGAAAAGATATTATAGAAGATTATATAAAACTCTTGCTATTTTCATAGAGTGTGAACATTTTTATAGAAATCCCAAATGGAAACCTAGAAAAGTTTTAAAAAATATTTTCTGAGTTCAATAAATGGCTCTTGCATTCCTTTAGGCATTAAATAGCATATTAAAAATATTTGATTTACTAAAAACTCCACCAAATAAAACTATTAGAAACCATAAACAAACACAGTAAAGTTTCAGGATACAAAATCAGTATACAAAAATCAATTGTGTTCCTATATACTAACAATTAAATTTCAGAAAAAGAAATGAAAAAAAATTCATTTTATCCAAAAGAATAACACCTAGGAATAAACTTAAAGAATGTGACGGGCCTTTCCCGCGGTGACGACCTCCCGACAATCTGCTGCCTCTCGCTAAGGATCTCCTCCATCCCTCTCCAGAAGAGGAAAGAAGAAACACAAGAAGAAGCGCCTGGTGCAGAGCCCCAATTCCTACTTCCTGGTTGTGAAATGCCCAGGATGCTATAAAATCACCACGGTCTTTAGCCATGCACAAATGGTAGTTTTGTGTGTTGGTTGCTCCACTGTTCCCTGTCAGCCAACAGGAAGAAAAGCAAGGCTTACAGAAGGATACGCCTTCAGAAGAAAGCAGCACTAAAAGCACCTCAAATCAAGATGAGTGGGAAACCATCCAATATTTTGGATTAAAAAAATGTGAAAGACCTATGCACTGACAACTACAAGACATCATTAAAAGAAATTTACGAAGACACAAAGAAATGGAAGAATATTCCATGTTCATGGATTGGAAGAATCAACATAGTTAAAATAGCCATACTACCCAAAGCAATATACAGATTTAATGCAATCCCCATAAAAGTCCCAATGACATTTTTTAAAAAAAGAAATAGAACAAAAATCATCAAATTTGTATGGAACCACAAAAGACCTCAAATAGCTAAAGCAACCCCAAGAAGAAAGAACAAAGCTAAAGGTATCATACTTTCTGACTTCAAATTATACTACAAAGCAACAATAATAAAAACAAAACAAAACAAAACATGGTACTGGCAGAAAAAAACAGACACATAGACCAATGGCACATAAATGAGAACCCAGAAATAAACCCATCTATATATGGGCAAATAATCTTCAACAAAGGAGTCCAAAACATACAACGGAGAGAAAAAATGCCTCTTCAATAGATGGTACTGGAAAAATTGGAAATCCACATGCAACAGAATGAAAATAGTCTGTCACCATTCACAAACATTAATTCAAAATGGATCAAAGACCTAAATACAAGACCTGAAACAATAAAATACATAGAAGGAAACATAAGTACTAATCTTATGGAACTTGGTCTTAGAGAGGATTTTATGAAATTGACCCCAAAGGCAAGGGAGGTAAAACAATAGTGAATGAAAGAGATTATATCAAACTAAAAAGCTTCTGAACAGCAAAAGAAACCATCAGTAAAACAAAAAGGCAACTAATCAAATGGGAGAAGATATTTGCAAACAATACCTCTGATAAGGGGTTAAAGAACTCATACAACTCAACAACAAAAACAATCCAATTTAGAATGGGCAGAAGACCTGAACAGACACTCCTCCCAAAAAGACATACACATGGCCAACCAATATATGAAAAAAATGCTCAGTTCACTAGCTATAAGGGAACTGCAAGTCAAAACCACAATGAAATACCACCTGACACCTGTTAGAATGGCAATTATCAACAAGGTAAGTAATAACAAGTATTGGAGAGGTTGTGGAGAAAAAGAAACCCTCATACAATGTTGGTGGTAATGTAAATTGGTGCAGCCACTATGAAAAACAATATGGAATTTTGAAAAAGAAGAAGGAGGAGAAGGAGGAGGAGGAGGAGGAGGAGGAGGAGGAGGAGGAGAAGAAGAAGAAGAAGGGGAAAGCTACCATATGACCCAGCAATCCCTCTTCTTGATATCTACCAGAAAAAATTTGAAAACATTTATTCATAAAGATATATGTACCCCTACGTTCACTGCAGCATTATTCATGGTGGCCAAGACAGGGAAACAATCTATTCATTCCATGGATGATTGAATAAAGAAGATGGAATACTTACTACTCTAGCATAAGAAAAGATAGAATATGGCCATTTACGACAACATGGATGGATCTTGAGAATATCATGCTAAGTAAAATAAATCAAATGGAAAAAGACAGGATCTATATGATTTCACTCATATGTGGGATATAAAACAGAAAGAAAACAAATGAACAAACAAAACAAACAAGCAAACAAAAACTCATAAACACAGACAACAGTTTTGGTGGCTACAGAGAGAAACGGGAGTGGAGGGAGAACGAAGAGGATAAAGGAGGTCAAATAAGTGGTGACAGAAGACTTGCTTTGGGTGGTGAGCACACAATGCAACATACAGATGATGTATATAGAATTGTACACCTGAAACTTACATAACTTATTAACTGATGTCACACCGACAAACATAATAAAATTTTTTAAAATACATAATTTAAAAAATATATGATAATGAGACATCATCCAGAAGATTAATAAAGACATACCTGTGAAAAGAGGTTGACTGACTGAAATTAAGGCAGCCTCAAACCCCTTCATTTGTATGGGCTCCTCACAAGATTACAAATACTTTTGTATTTGTAATTTTGTATACTTTTTCTTTTTTGTAAATATATTTTTATTGATTTTTTACAGAGAGGAAGGGAAAGGGATAGAGAGTTAGAAACATCAATGAGAGAGAAACATTGATCAGCTGCCTCCAGCACACCCCCTACTGGAGATGTGCCCGCAACTGGAATCGAACCTGGGACCCTTCAGTCAGCAGGCTGACGCTCTATTCACTGAGCCAAACCGGTTAGGTGTATACTTTTTCTTAAAGAAAGCTTCCAAAGTTGCATAGACTGCAGACCCACAGAACCTGCATCTGCCACAGCAAAGGAATAACAATATGTAATTTCCATAAATGAGTACAATACTTGGGTGAGAGAGTTCAAAATGTTACAACCAGAGAGATATACCAAGTTCCTAGATGACAAAACTCCATACTATTAAAATGTCAATTCTCTCAAATTAAGTGATTAATGTAAGTGCAGTAAATATTCTAACAGTATTTAGAAAGCAGAGCAAAACTTTGGGAAAATCTGGGCGACATCTGAAAAAAATAAGAATCACTAGAAATTTTTGAAAAAGTTAATTAAGTGAATGTGAGATGTAGGATTTTGGGGCAAATGACTATTTTTTCCAGATACAAAAAGTATTATAAACCTTCAACAATTGAAACAATGTGGTATGGGTACAGGAATAGACACCGAACGCTATGACTAGGTGAATTTTATGGTATGTGAGTTATATTAATACTGCATTAGTATTTCATAAGCAATATGTAGTATATTACATCATTATGCAATATAGAATACCAAAATATAATGTTATAAATAACTTTATTATAATAATGCTATTATATTTTTAAAGCATGACCAGTCAAATTACAAAATTAGTAAGTTAAAAAACATAAGAAATAATCAACATCCCTAATAATGAAAGAAATATAAATTAAAGCAATAAGGATATACTATTTTTACCAATCAAAATAATAGGGTAATAGTTTTTAAATAACAGTTCTCACTGCTGTAGAAGTATGGTAAGACAGATATTCTCCTATATTGAAGGTGGGGGTGCAAATTAGCACAGCCTTTCTTGAAGGCAGTATAGCAATATATATTAATAGAGTAATACTCTGCTTCAGTGGTATTGCTTATAAAAATATCACCTAGGAAATTCATGCTAAATATGAGGGGAAAAATCATTATATACAAAGACCCACATTTCATTATTATGTATGACAATGAAGAAATAAAACATCTTAAATTTCAGTGACAGTGAGATAGTTAAGGGTGCTATAGTGTACACACTTCATGGGATATTATGCATCAGCTGAAATAAATTGTATATTCATATGGGAAAATTATTATCACATGATAGCATGAGAAAAATGAGAGCACAAAACTGAATCAACAATATGATCAAAACTAAACTCAACTTTTTCTTTTCTTTTTTTGTATTTTCAAATTATTTTGAATAAACCACATTTATAAAATTTCCAAAATATCTAAAAGAAATGACAAAACAGTGATAGAAACTATAATTCCAGGCACCATATGATGTGTGGTTTATGGCTGCTATAATGAGCACTAGATATACTCAGAGAAAAGTTTAAACTGAGTGTTTCAATGTTTCATCTGCAGGTGACTTTGAGTTTCAAGGATTTCCTCCCCCACCCCCCAAAAGAAGTCATTCAATGAACTCTTATTTAGCGACCCCTCGGCCCTGGCATATACAAATCAAAAACCAAAAAATTAGTAATAAGGTACATCTCAATCCATTTTATGAGATATGATATATTTTTCCTTCAGTCCTAAGTCTGCTCTACAACTAAGTTTAAAATAAACATTTACTCCTCAAACTATTTCCAATCTAGATATGTTAAATGTTTTAAAAATAAAGATAGTAGCCAAAACCGGTTTGGCTCAGTGGATAGAGCGTCGGCCTGCGGACGCAAGGGTCCCGGGTTCGATTCCGGTCAAGGGCATGTACCTAGGTTGCGGGCACATCCCCAGTGGGGGATGTGCAGGAGGCGGCTGATCGATGTTTCTCTCTCATCGATGTTTCTAACTCTCTATCTCTCTCCCTTTCTCTCTGTAAAAAATCAATAAAATATATTTAAAAAAAAATAAAGGTAGTATATAAGCTACTTTAAATGATCACAAGTAGGATCACAAGGGGAATCTCTTTAAAGATCAGTAGGTGAGCACAAGCCTATGACACAGGCTTTAACCCTGCCAAGCATCCTGGGAGATGGTGCTGACGCTGCTGGGACCACCCTTAGAAGCTTGTAGAAAACATGGCTCTATTAGGTGAAGAGTGGATGCCAGAACTGCCAGAGCAGACAGGAACATATAGGTTCACATAATGGTCTAGAGCAGACATGCTAAGTCAGGTCAGAAAACTCCCCTGCCAACAATGTTCTGTGGGAGAGCCCAGAGGACGCTGTTTAAAAACAGGGAAAGCACTGGGATGAGAGGCGCCAGCGTCACTGTGACGGTCAGTGTGGCTGTCTTCCTTAGGCTTGAACTGCTTACAGAGCTGGGCTCCTTGATAGGGATCAGGATGATAGAGTCCTGAGGTTTAACAAAAAGGGGGGGGGGCAGGTTGTGGGCAATTATCATAGTGACTGGCAAGGTTAGATGCAAGGTATTGGGGATGTGGGGGAGGTGTCTGACCCACTGAGATATGGAGATGATCAACAGAACACAGCATCTTAGGGACAAGATGGATCAACAGCCAATAAGCATATTGCTCAAACTATACAATCAAAAGAAATCAAGCCTGGATCTTCAGGAGAGGAGACTGAGCAGTCTCCACAATAAAAAATTACCATACCCTGTCTAGGTTCTAGATCTGAGCCATTACTCAGGCTGGGAACCCACTGACTGAAGGACGGGCTGGGTCCCAGGAGGAACAATCCCGTGACACATGGCAAGTCCTTCCCCAAAAGGGGCATATAGCCATGGAGTACCAATACATTGGAAAAGAAGCATTCCCAGATATTTCAAGGACACAGGGTCTGAATTAACATGGATTCTCAGGGACCTAAATAGTCT